TGCAGGGCTGACAACACAGCCACACATATTTAAAATAAACACACTTTGTGGGCTGCTGCTGGGCATGGTTTGTTAGACATGGTGAGTGCAGAGCTGGGTTCTTGGCCAGCCTGCACTGACACAGCCCCTTTGAGCTGAGCAGATGCACCCTGAGCTATTCCAGCTGAACGGCTGCTCTGGGGAATGGAGAGAAGAGAGCATACCAGGAGCAATATAAAGCTGCCTCAAACAAGGATTCACTTCCACAACAAAATAATAACAGCAGGGCTGGATGCAGCTGCAACGTGGAGGGAGGAAGGTTTTGCCCATCCCTTCCCAAGCCATATGTGGGAGAGGATGTTTGTACTGTGCAGGGATAGTGAAAGGACAGAGCTACCTCTCAGAGCCTCTCCCACATAAATCCACACTCAATAATGGATAGCACTACTTGGACAAAGATTTAAAGAATTCTTAGGACAACCACCTAGCGTTAAATCAAAAACATTGTTGCCTGCAGAGAAAGAAAACAGAACCCTTGGCACTATGTTAGGTCAGTGATAGCAGTTCTCACTGTCAGAGTTCATATTCCTTTTTTCATGACCGATTAAAATAACCTGGAAAGAAGCAAACTGAAAGAAAACAGTGCAACAGAAATGAAAGCACATTATGGGAGGGCCAGAAACAGCAACAACCATGAAAAAAACCCGGGGAAAGCAGCCCTTTTGTAAACCCCTGTCAGCAGAACAATAACATCTTTGTAACAGCAAAAACAATTTATAGTTTTGAGGGTGCCCTCTAGTGAGTGGGACCCTTGGGTGCTCTGATCTGCTGAGCAGCGCTGGTGCATCTCAGGGCTGGCAGGAACGAAACACGCTCTGAAACTCAACCATGCTGTGCTAATTTAAGAGCAAGCACTGGCTGGGGTGACAAGATGGCAGAGCCTTCTCTAAACAGCGGCATTTCTCAAGAGCCAGCCATTAATCCTGCATATCACCGGCTTGTCAAATATTTTTTGGATGCATGAACATCATCAAGAGCTCATCAAGATGAGGGCATGAACTCTGTGCTAGCAAGTCCTCATGAAACAACATGCTCTTGGGAACAGATAATGTCTGAACCAGGTGTAGCCCTCTGATCCCAGCTGTAAACATGTCTGTTAAGGCTGATGTACTAGGAAAAGGACACAGAAGAAAGAAAACAGCCCCTAGCCCTTCCAGTAAAAGCAGTTTTATGCAAGGAGGGTTTTTTTATCTTCAGATCCATACTGCAGGGCAGGGAAAGGACAGTGCAGTGGGACTAAGCACATGGGGTGTGGTGCTTTGCCCTAGGCCCACCAGGGGATGTGTGCCCATCCTGATAGCCCATCCCACATAGCACAGACTGCATGCTGGCACTTGGCCAACTGTATCAGCTACTATCATATAATTTCCACTTGAAAGAATTTCCAGATTATTTCTTTAACCATTTTAGCATGAAAACATTAAAGAAGAAGCAGCAAGTTGGCCAAAAGCCACTCATTTTATACCAATTCAGCTAAGGAAACTCCCTATTTAAAGGAGGAAGTAGAGTCCCACCTCTATGTGATGTGCTTTGGTATCTTTCTAAATGGCCTAGTAATGAAGGAATAGAAAAAATTGGGAAGTTTTACTACAAGCCCATGGAGAGGAGGGCTTTGGTATAAGTAAAGCTGAAGGAATAGGTAAAGTATTTTAAGGCCTCGATCACTATTTATCTACTTCTAAATCACCAGTGGATCCTCCTCAAGGCTCACTGCTCTGGAACTAATAAAACACTCAGCACCATTTTGCTGGGTGACAATTCAGAAGACAGGCAGGTGAACCAATTCCCTCCCTGCAGGGTGCTCAGACCTGCTGGTACAGAGCAGACAGAATTATTTTGCCTTCATAGCTTGCAAAGAGGAGAGAGCTGGTCAGTAGCAGATGTTGGTGAAGGTGAGTCTTACAAAGCAATTAAGAGATGTCACCACCCTAGGCTGACTCAAGATGCAACAGAAGATTCCTGCAGTGGGGTAGGGGTGGCAATGTGTCAAATGTAATCAGCCCTCAGCAAAAGCTGGACTTGATGATCTTTGTGATTCCCTTCCAACTCAAAATATCCCATGATTCTGCAAAAGTGCCCTTAAATTTATTCTTCAATGACAGCACCAGCAGCACTGCTGCAGCATGAGCTGCTCCCTTTCAAATCTACTTCATATTTGAGATCAGTGTTTCAGAGCACTCCTTCCCCACAAGTGGAACAGTGCTTTTAGTTCTTTCTTTGTCTTTCATCCAGTTCTCAGACAGCTGAGTTCCGTCCATGTTTATCCCATGCCATGTGAATGAAATGTGTGTGATCCACTGTCCTCTATCCTGACAGGGGTCTTTCCAACTGCAATTACATTCTGATTAACCCATATTCCCCAGAGAACTTCAAGGACATCAGATTGTCTAGCTAGTGAATATTTACAAAGTAGTTTCCTTAGAGAGAAAGAAAAGGCCATGAGTTTTCAATATGCAGTTGGAAAAGTCTGCTAAACGTCCTTAAGCATGCATTTGCAAGTATGTGCAGAAAAAGCCAAAGTAGAAGTCCTTGCAGATAAAGAAAGAGTCGCAGGAGTAACATCTTGGAGCTTAGAAGGGATTTTTGGGAATTGCTACAAATTACAGCCATGGCTTTGGCTCCACAGACCAGAAGGCTGGGCTCATCATCTCTACAGAAAAGTAATTTAAAAAAATCACATTAACCTGTAAGAAATAGTTGCAGGTTGTACCTGCAAACTATTAGCAGTTCAGCTGCTCACTATCATCATTTTGGTGTTTGGACAATGCTCTCAGGCATTTGTGTGATTTTTAGGGCTGTTCTGGGCAGAGCCAGGATGCAGAGCTTGATGATCCTTGTGTGTCCCTTCTAAGTCAGGATAGCCTGTGATCCTCCAGCCATAGTCAGGCACTGTGCTCAGTACCACTGGTCTTTAGGTTTCAGTAATTTTGGAAGAACTCAAGCAGTGAAACCAGACAAGAGTTAGTCCATTACATATTGTGGCTCATTTTCAGCACACTAATCTATGCCACTCTAAATCTTGTGCTAGTATTGAAAATGTACATTGAAGTTTCTATGAGTTTCTGAATGAAAGCCTTTTTAAAAATACTCATTCTGTCACTGCTATTTGAGGAGGTTGTTATTGTTTGGGTTTTAGTGTTTAGAGTTTTTGTTTGTTTCTTTGTTTTTTTCAGGAAGAAACACAAGTCATAACTTGGTTTTGACCAGAACAAAACAAAAAAACCAGGAACAAGTCCTTCACCCTTAGCAGACTGTAAGTTAATTCATGGAAAAATCTCTCCTGTACTTGGTTGTGATCCTGTCCACAGTACATACAGGGGAAGTTTTGAATTCAGAGACCTCTGGAAGAAATGAAAGTGTTTGGAAGAAATAAAACTGTCTTGACAGATCACCTTCAAGTGACACAAAACATAGCGCCTAAACTCCAACGGTTTTTAACTTGTTTTCCCTGAGGAAAACAATGTATTTTCAAAATATACATTGTACCCAGACTGGCTGCCACTTGAAATGGCATCTGATACTTTTAACCCATGTAACCACACCTGGGGTGCTATGGAGCCCACCTGTAAATAGAAAATTAATTGTAGTAATTCCCTTTCACAGCAGAAGGTCTTGGAGAGCTCCAGATTTAACTGAAACTGGGTGTCAGTCCCCAAAAACTCATTGTGCCCATAAGTGGTGAACCCACTCCTGAAGTTGGCTGGTGCCAAGGAGCCCACCAGAGCCCCCTGGCCAGATAGGGATTCTCCAGCCTCCTTGGTGGTCTTTCAAAAAGGAAATTCTCAAGCTTGTGTACATTTTGGTTGGTTCCACGGCATTCAGACAGCCCAAGACTGGGCAGGGGTTTTAGGCTACACAAAGAGCTCCATGAGCCCAGTGTAATGTGGGGCCCTGCCAAGAAGGGAAAAGAGGGTTCGTAAGTTGGATGCAGGACTGGAAAGGATACTATGTAGGTTTACAGGTGAAATTGGGAAAATTGTTGATTCCCTGGAAGGCAGAGGTCTTGCAGACAGACCTCGACAAGTTAGAGGGCTGGGCAGTCACCAACTGTATGAAATTTGAAACAGAAAATGCCTGTTTCTGCACCTGGAGGAGGGCAACTCTGAATGTAGAGACAGACTGGGGAACTAAGAAAGGGACCTGGGGGTCCTGGTTGATGGGAAGTTGGGTATGAGTCAGCCGTGCATGGCAGCCAGGAGGGACAATCCTGCCCTGGGGGGGATCAGGCACAGCATGGCCAGCCGGGCAAGGGAGGGGATTGTCCTGCTCTGCTCCGGGCTCGGCCTGCCTCACCTCGAGTGCTGGGGGCAGTTTTGGGTGCCACAAAATAAAAAAGGATTAAAGCTGTAAGAGAGCTTCCAAAGGAAGGCCACGAGGAAGGTGAAGGGTCTGGTGGGGAAGCTGTATGAGGAGTAGCTGAGGGCACTTGGTCTGTTCGGCCTGGAGAAGAGGAGACTGAGGGGAAACCTCGCCGCAGTTACAACTTCCTCATGAGGGGCAGAGGAGGGGCAGACATTGATCTCTTCTCTCTCTTGACCAGCGACAGGACGTGAGGGAATGGGCCAAGCTGTGTCAGGGGAGGTTTAGGAAAAGGTTATTCACCAGAGGGTGGTTGGGCACTAGAACAGGCTCCCCAGGGCACTGGTCACAGCCCCAAGCCTGACAGAGTTCAAGCAGCGTTTGGACAATGCTCTCAGGCACATGGTGCGAGTCCTGGGGTGTCCTGTGCAGGGCCAAGAGTTGGACACGCTGATCCTCGTGGGTCCTTTCCAACCCAGCATATCCGTGATTCTGAGTTTATTGACAAACACGAGTCCCAAAAGTGGTTTCGCTTTGCCCCGCCGGGTCCGCGCCGCCGCTCCGGGCGCACGGAGGTGACGCCTGAGGGGCGGTGGCAGCGGGCGGGGCGGCGGGGCCGGGCCGGCGCCTCTGCCAACCCCGCCGGACGCTCGGGACGCGGCGGGAAGAGAAATTTTCCGCTGCGGACGAAGCTTTCGCTTTCCTGCGGAAAGAACGGAGCGGCCGCGGTTCCCGAGAGCCCGGGCCGGGATGTGAGGGAGGTGGTGGCGCGGCCGTGACGCGGCGCGGGGCGGGGCGGGCGCGGGTCGGTCCGGCCATGCCGAAGCGCTCCTGCCCCTTCGGGGACGCGGCCCCGCTCCAGCTGAAGACCCGCGTGGGGCTGCGGGAGCTGAGCCGCGGCGTGCGGGGCGAGGAGTACCGGCGGGAGGTTTTCGGTGAGCGGGGCGCGGAGGGGGGAGCGCCGGGCTGGCCGCCCCGCCGGGGGGATGTGCCGGCCCTCCGCGGCCCGCGGGCATGGGGAGCCCGCCCCTGACTCTGCTCTCCTCTCCGCCGGCAGAGAGGACCCGGCGGCTGCTCTTCAGGGGTGCCCAGGCGTACATGGAGGGCGCGGCGGCCGCTGCCCGCGCGGCGGAGCCGGGGCCGGCCGGGGAGGCACCGGGCGAGGGGCCCCGCTGGAGCGGGCAGCTCCTCATCGGCCACGACGGGAAACTGCGGCGGCGGCCCGCGGACAGGGGTGAGTGCCCGGGCCGTGTCACGGAACCGCGTAACGCCCTCAGCTGGAAGGGACCCATCGAAGTGCAGCTCCTGTCTCGCTCAGGACATCCCCGACGTTCCCGCCGTGAGCCTGAGGGCGGAATGATTCTTAAACTCTGGCAGGATTGGGCCCTGGCCACTTCCCTGAGGAGTGTTGCAGTGCCAGACCACCCTCTGGGTGAAGAACCTTTTTCTAGTATCCAGCCTAAACCTCCCCTGGCACAACTTGAGGCCATTCCCTCTGGTCCTGTCCCTGGTCACTATAGAGACCAGTGCTGTCCCTTGGCTTCCCCTCCCAAGGAGGTCTATACTGTGATGAGTAGTTTTGTGCTGTGTAGTTCTTCTTTATTAACTTTCCTTAAAGGCAGTGTTAGATTTGACCTGACGGATTTCGGAATTGCTTTCTCTGCTCAGTGGCAAGACTAAGGGATGCTAAAACAGAACAATTTGTTCTGTTTTAGCATCCCTTAGTCTTGCCACTGAGCAGAGAAAGAAGCAAGAAAGTTCCAAGCGGCGCTCCCTGTCCCTTGGCATTCCCGAAGTGCTGCCACCTGTAGCTGTGCACGGCGCCGCGCTCTGCAGCCCCTGGGACTTCCAGCTGCTTTCTCTGCCTTGCTGTAAAGCTCATCCCTTCTTTACCGTGTCTTTGCCAAGCAGTTCCGCCGCTGGGAGCGTCCAGAGCCTGCTCGTCGTGTGTGAGAGCGGCCGATGTGAAGGAGGCGTGTGCGCAGTGTGACCGGCTCGTCTGCCAGAGCTGCAGCAGGCTCTGCAGCTGCTGTAACACGGTGACCTGCTCCTTGTGCTCCGCTGTTGAGTAAGTGCCTTTCGAGTTTGGAAGCTTATTTTAATTACACATGACCCGATAGTCGGGTGCAGCAGATATCTAGCTCATACACGTAAAGAAGTTAAAGTCTTCCCATGCCTTAGCAGCAGTAAAATGTCTGAAACATGCAAGCCAAGATGCCTGTGTGAAGCACTCTAATCAACCATAGTACAACTCTAGTTCAGCTTCTTACTTAAATGCTGTAGGAGGCAAACATTTCTCTTGCTTTCCCACCAGCAGTATAGTATGCTGGCCAGTGCTGACTGCATGCACTTCCAAGGAATAATCTTAATTTTTTTCCCTCATTGTTAACAATTCTGTGGTATAAAGAAATACTGAGTGTGCTGTGTGGGAGTCCCGTGGTTGCAGTTGATAATGGAATAGTGTGCCATTCTTATGTTCCAGAAACAGTAGGCACTCTGACTTTTGTTTCTTCTGTTGTTTTTTTTTTGTTTCTTTTTTCCCCTAGTTATGGTGATGTGGGAGAGCAAGTTCTCTGCAATGGTTGTTCAGTATTTCAAGTCTGAAACTTGATGAAATAACCCTTGTGGCTAAAACATCCATGAATTTCATGAAGTCTTCTCCTTGCAGCTGATCAAATACTCCTTTTAGCATGTGAATTAGTTATGGAATTTCTATGTTTTATATCTTTATATTGTACTTTTAAATATTGTAGTTAAATAAACATTTATATTTTAAAGCTTTTTAGATTATTTTGAGTCGGCTTTCTCCTTTTCCCTAGTTGTGATATGCCTGTCTGGAAGGGACCACTCTGTGCTCTTACCTGGTGTTCCTGATGTGATACAGGATTCAGAATATTCTCCTCGCTTGTTGGTCATGTTAGGACACACTTTTGTGGGATCAGAATAGAAATCAGTTGCTCCTTCTGTGCTTTCAGGTGAGTGTGAATCCATTCTGGACACACAACATTTTCTTTGTGAGCTTACTAGGAAAATCAGCCAGGCCTGAGGGCTTTTCCAAATAAGAGAATTTGCTGATTCTGGTTAAGTTTTTTTTTTAAGCTATCACAGACATCTTGTGTTTACTGACAGCTTGAATGGTTTTAATCTCTCTATGGTAACTTTGATAGAAAGAACAGCAGCACACCAGGCTTGGAGCAGAAAAGTTTTTCTCATTAGTAAATTTTCCAGTACCTTCACTGAAAGGTCTTTCTTGGAAAGCAACTTATCTATATGAGTTTATCTCCTACACTGTAAACTTCATAGTAGCTCATGAAGTGGTCTGAAAAATGGTCAGCACTCAGGGGTACCTCTCCATAAACCAGCTCATTCCTCATTTTCTTCTCAAATTACTGCAAGGGCTTGGTATTGTTTGTGCTGTAATAGTGAAGTAAAGTACTACTGGACAGCCCCTCAAAGTAGTTTTCCTTTACTGATATTGCTGTTTCATTAAAAAAGCCACTTTTCATCTGGCAAACCAACTATGCCTAAGAGAAAACTACAGTGGTCTTTACCTCAGGAAAATGCTGATTTGAGTGGCTGATTTCAGACTGTAGGATAAAAGGAATAGGTTTGACACACACAAGAAAATAAATCCTTGTGGCACAGCTAATGGTCTGTTTCTCAAATTCTTTGCCCTCAACTCCTGAAGCAAAGCCTGCCACTCATGCTTCCCAGTCTTCTCAGCTTAATTAGTATGTTTTGGGTGGAGTAACCTTGTTTTTAACTGTTTCCCTCCACTTCAGCCATTTCTGTTTGAAGAGATGGAAAGTCCATTGCAGTGCAACTTGAGAGCCTGACTTCTCCCTCGTGGTGACACCTTTATTTGACATTCTGTTGGAGGCATTCTGGGTGTTTGCCTGTCAGAATCCTGCAGCTACCCAAAGAGAATGGTAAATGTTTTAGCAAAGGGTGGAGGTGGCTGTTGCAGGAGAGCAGCCCTTCTTCATAGCTGCAGTGTCATGGCTTTGGGTGTATCAGCTACAGTGAGGTGCAGGATGACATCCTCTCTATCCTGTGTAGCACTTTGTGTCACTATACAGACACACTTTGAAAGCATTTGGGTACTTCAGGGTTTCCTGAGGGGTGTTGCTTCACTCCCAACCATCTGTGCCACCTTAGACTGACCATCTGTGCCAGCCTGGACATGCTGATGGATCTGGTTGGTTTTCCTGTTCTGCATGTTTTGGAGCCAGTTAAAATGGGGGACTTTACTGGTTCTTACTCCAGTCTTAATTTTGAGCAACTCTGAAATGTGTCCTATCTTCATTCCCATAACAAACAAAAAAAAAAAGTCTCAAGTCAGGTGACTTAGTTGTGGAAGAATTATCTGGAATGTGCAGGAATTTCATAGCATTATTTGTCTTTTCAAAGCTCCAATAGATGAAGTCAGGATGGTGGCAGATCTCTGGTGCAGTTCCCAGCTGGTATCACAAGGCAGATAAAAATGTTGCTCCTGTGGCAATCATTTTAAATCACAAAGCTCAGTTTTATGGATGGGAAGAACCTGTGGTTTACTGCATTTAGATGTTAGTTTTAGGAAAGACTTTAAAAACTTGGCTTTGTTTCATTTGAAGCTTTAAGCAGTGAACTAAAGTGTTTTTTCAGTCAAGTATATTTTTTGAAATGAAACCTTTAAGTATGTGTCTGCTTTTTCTTACTCTCTCCTGAGGGTGAGAGACTGAAAATAATGTTTTGCTTCTAGGCTCTGGGAAAGATGAGACATGTTGTTTACAAATGATTTGTGTTTCAAACTAGTGATAGAAATGGTTTTTTGGCTCATTTAGTCACTGCTGTATTTCATAGAAAGCTGTCCACTGTAAACAATGACATAAATTTCATGGCTTAATGTTCTTATTTGTTATCCTCTAGCTGCTTGAAAGATGGCTGTGCATTAGGATAGATACCCAATGCAGCATGAAGAGCTGGGAGAAGAAAAGCAGGAGGGTGGAAGAAGGTTAGAGGCTGGGAGGGGAAGGGCAGGAGGAGCACAGAACATGAGCATGGCCAGCTCTTGCATAGGGGAGGTCCTTCATACATGTGAGAAATGGGGTTTAGTGGTTACCACATCTGCTTCTCTGCCTTCAGAAGGTGACAGAACTGCCTGTGTCTACCAAAAGACTCAAATATTATTCAGGGAAGTTCTTTTTCTAGTCCTGCAGTTCTCAGATAAACAATGGGAGGTAAGACTGGAGACTGTTTGTAAATCTTTATAATGCCTACAGAAAAAAAAAACAAACCAACCTCTGTGAAGGGAAGAATCTTTGGGTGAGAAGTACAAAGATTTTTCTCTTTGCCTAATTAACTCCTCCTCACAAGGACTTGTCTGTTGCCACTGATCATTGAGCTGTAATAGAGTTACAATACAGCACATAGGGTACCCCTAGGACTGTAAATGAAAGCCAGAGAAATTGTCTGGTTTATTAGCTGAGCAGGAAATTGGGCTCAATCCTGTGCTTTTTTGTTGTAATTGTATGTTCTTCCCCTCCCACTCAGTGCAAAGTGTCAAAAATCAAAGTTTGCCTGCTGTTCCAAGGGAAGGAGATCCCCTGAGGAGCCAGCATATTGATGGGTAAAAATATCCTGCAGTAATGATTTTACAGATGGATGAGAAACTTCTGAGGCCTGTGTATCATTACTGGTGACATATGTCTCAAAGAGCAGACCTTTATGTCCAAAAGGAAGTCAGCTGATCTGATCAGGATAAAACAATTTCTCTTAGGACTAATAACTGAGTCAGTTCTAGAAATGTGTGGTTTCATAGACACCAGATATTTAAGGACAGTCTGAGGTGGTTAATGACTGCAGTATCTCCAGTATCTCCAGACTGTATTAGAACAAACCCACAACATTGTAAAAAAGCTCACTGAAAAGAACAAATACACTTGAGCTGTCTCCTTCAATAGCATTTGTCCTGTACACAAAGGAATTCCCAATATTTTGCAGTTCAGTCCAGAAGTCTGCTTTCCTCCAAGAGAAAAGTGAGCCATTCTACAGGTGATCCAGACAACGTGAAAATTAAAAATAAATAAATGTTAGCTCTCCATTCTGTGACTGATGTGTCTTTTGTTTAATACAGTCAGCACCTCAGCTTCTTCCCCTCCTTTTTGTTTTAGTGTCCTACACATTTGGGCTCTGACTTGTAGTCAGTTCATGGGCTTTTTTTGGTATTCCTTTCTGGACAGGTGATAACTAGATGCAGCTGTATTTTATCTCAGGACAGGGCATAAACCCCAAATAATGCAGGTGAGAATGAGAGACAATGTCCTTTTTTCCCTTACAAGTATGGGCAAGGCATTTATGCTTTGCTTCTGTGCTGAGTTTGCTGCCATCAGCTGTGGCACTCAGAAGTTTCAGCAATATGCAAAGGGCTTAAATCTTCTGAATCTTACTTTGAAGAGGTGCAGCCAAGAAGTAGAAATGGAAACAGTTATCTTTGTCCCCAGGTTTGTTGGGCCTGTTTTCCTTTGAAAACACTCAACTGGCCTCTGGCTGGATTGGTGAGACAGCAGCAAATGCCAGCACCATGCAAGGAATAAATACTTCTCTCTCTCACCATGCTCCCTACCAGTCATTGCGTGATGGCTTTGGGTTTTGACAGGATCAAACTGGATTAAAAAATTGAATCCCAGCAAAACTTACCTGTCATTAGGCTCCCACGTATGGAGTATGTGTACAAACTTGCATCTCCTGCTGCTCTGTAGCTTTTGGTTAGGTGTGATACTGTTTCATCATGGCAAATTCTGCAACTAAAAGCTCTTTGTGCTGCCTTTGCCGCCCATCTGGACTCCAAGAGCACTGACTGCCTGGACATGAAGCCCTCTGTGCTTGGGGCAGCTCCAGCTGGGATGGAGTGTGGCAGAGCACCTCCTGTTTGTTCTGTCTGTCAGGCTTTGTCCTCTGTTCTTTGCAGTGCTTTACCACGGATTGTCAGACTAAGCTTAGATCCAGACTACTGCAGGAACATGTGGGGTTGTCCAGGGAGGGGGAGGAAAACCTCAACCCACCCAGCAGCAGCACTCAGACGTGCAGAACAAAACTGCTGCAGCAGCTCAGGGACTCCAGAGCCCACCCTGGCAGCACAACCTCGGCTGTGGCAGCTTGGAAAGGGAGAGGGATATGGGGGCTCTTCCCAGAGAGCTTCCTGCCCCCAGCAGGCTTCTGAGTGAGGACAGGTAAGGCTGAGGAAGAGCACCTGTGCCTGCTTTCCTCCACTCTCTTTAGGGTTTCTCACTGCTGGGAAGGGGAAGGTGGCAAAGCTTTGAACACTGTTTTTAGTGAGGTAAATTGGTTAACCTGTTAAAAGCAGTCAAGAAGCCTCAGAAAATGTTAATGATTCTTTAAGAAATAAGTAGGAGCTGTGTAATTTAAAGGCAAATACCTGTGGGTAGAAAATTGGAATAAAATTCTTCTAAATTACTTTTTATTTTACATTATTAAAATTGCAATAGGGTGAAAGTGATCACACAATGTTGTATATTTTAATGGCTAATACACATGCACACACATATATAACTTTTTGTATAGATATTTTATATTGATAGATATTAAAATACCATAGCTTTTACAGTTGATTGCATTTTGAACTGCTACAATTGTAATACAAGCTTTAATATTTGCTGGTGGTGTGTATTCTGGACTTTTGTTATTTTATTTTCTTCCTCTGGGAAAAAACTCAGCTGGAATCAAATTATTATGTCTTACACTTTTATTAAAAGTTTTTATTCTCATGGCTGTGATTTGCATTAAAACCCTGTGATAGATGTTATTTATCTTTGCAGAGCTTATTATTGCTTGAACATTTTGTGGTTATAGGATTACTTTAAATTTTAGGATTTATTTAATCATATTTTCTTACGTTGTTTTGCTCAAGTGTCATAATTTAAATCATGATCTCCTTCTCATTTATTTGTTCTGTAAGATTCAGATGTTTTTCTGTTTCTTCTTTCCCTGACAAAGACCCAGTTGAAGGTTTTGAGGGCAGGTGTCTCCTTGATAGCCTGCACCAGTACTGTCCTGATCTGTTCTGTACGATTTCTCTCAGACTTGCACTGAATTCCACC